GTAACCAATAAACAAAAAAACGTAAACAATAGCGCGTTATATGCCGCAAAGACCAAATTCCAATTCCCCATTCCATTCATAATTCCGAATTGCCGAAATATTTTACGTATATTATAACACATATATACGCGAAATATTAAATTATACAAGTATTTTAAATTATAAACGAATTATTTATTAAACGAGTGATATGTATCACGGAGCCTTTCGTTATGCTAACTACTCGATTCTGCGATTCGATTGTTTTACTGCGTGTTCTCAATACAAATCATATTTTGATCGTTGAAAAGTCTAACGATAAAGCAATGGACGAAATATTTTTAACTTTAAATATTGATAGAAAATTAATTATTGCTCATAAAGATTGCAATAAAATAGTAATTTATGGTTTTGATTACTGTCATTTCGATTCTTATAATTAGTTGATAAAATGAACACGTCACGCAAAATACGAGCTTCAAGATCTATCATCGCGATATAGTTACGTATTATTTAATGTATATAAAAGATAATTAATGATTTATCATATCAAATTATTTCCCGATACTTGTCACGATCGCGTTTCTAATTTGACAGAGCATCTCGCGCTCTACTACCTTATTGTTCGAATGTCACCGTGCGAATGATAAGGCCATAAATCGTAACACGTTAACAATAGCGCGCTAATGTTTACGCCGCCAAAGCCGAATATTATGTTATTAATATTTTGCTGCCGAAATATTTTCCGTACTATGACATATATACAAACAAAATATTAAATTATAGAAATATTTTAAATTATAGATCTATTATTTAATAAACAATTAATATATCACGGAGCTTATCGATATGTTAATTATTCGGATCTGCGATTAGACTGTTTTATTGTGCGTTCTCAGTCCGAATCATATTTAGATCGTCGAAAAATCGAACGAAAAAACATCGGACGAAATATATTTTAAGTATTTTTAAATAATTGTTGCCTAGAGAGTAAAAGAAAGAGAGAGAATTAATTCGCGACAACGCGACGTATCGTTTCGAAAAGGAATTTGACGGAGCGTTTCGCACTACCACATTACTGTTCGAGTGTCACCGTGCGAATGATAAAGCCGTAAGTCGTAACAATAGCGCGCTAATGTTTACGCCGCCAAGGCCGAATACCATGTTATTGATTTCGCAGCCGAAAATATTTTGCGTACTATGACGTATACAAGCGGAATATTAAATTATACAAATATTTTAAATTATAGATCTATTATTTAATAAACAATTAATATATCACGGAGCTTATCGATATGTTAATTATTCGGATCTGCGATTAGACTGTTTTATTGTGCGTTCTCAGTCCGAATCATATTTAGATCGTCGAAAAATCGAACGAAAAAACATCGGACGAAATATATTTTAAGTATTTTTAAATAATTGTTGCCTAGAGAGTAAAAGAAAGAGAGAGAATTAATTATTAATTATGTCAAATTATTTCCCGATACTTTTCGCGATCGCGTTTAGAAAAGGACGGAGTGTTTCGCATTACTACATTACTGTTCGATTGTCGCTGTGTGAATGATAAAGCCGTAAGTCGTAACATGTAAACAATAGCGCTCTAATGTTTATACCGCCAAGGCTGAATACCATATTGTTGATAATTCGCAGCCGAAAATATTTTGCGTACTATGACATATATGTACACAAGCGGAATATTAAATTATATAAGTATTTTAAATTATAGATTAATTATTTAATAAACGATTAAAATATCGCAAAGCTTATCGTTATGTTAATTATTCGGACCTGCGATTTTATTGCGCATTCTCAATCCAAATTATATTTGAATAATCAAAAAATCGTATGATAAAGCATGAGACAAAATATCTTTACTCTAAGTATCGATAGAAAAATAGTTTTTATTCCTAAGGATTGCAACAAAACGATAATTTAGATTTCTGTCACTTCAATTCTTATTTTGAGAAAGATTCTTACTTATATTTTATCGGTTTGAGAATAATTTAAATGAATTAATAAAATTTTTGCGACTAAAATGGCATCAAACACAACATAAATCGGATAATTTTTAGCTAAACTAATAATAAAAATTTTGAGCACATATTTAACTAAAAATTATCCGGTTTATGTCGTATTTGGTATCATTTTAATCGCAAAAAATCATTAATCTATTAAAATTATTTTCAAACAGGTAAAATGCAAAATATAAAAGTTTTATTTTCTATGATAATATGACACATATATACTCGTGAAATACTATGTAATAAAGGAATAAGCCCCTCGCGTGTAAGAGATTTCGAAACTGTTTGACGATATTTATCTCGCTTGCTCTTTACTCGTTCTCGCTCTCGCTTTCGATAACATCGAAGATCTTTACTTATCTATAATAATTATTTTATAATATTCAAAAATCTTATATAATAAAAACTAAAACATTTATGTTTTATTTTAGGAAGTAATTTTTTAAAAATAATTTTAATGGAATAATGAGATTTTTAATTAAAATGACATCAAAAACACGATATAATTCGAATAATTTCTACTTAGATAAGGAAAAAAATATTTTATCTAATTTTTGAATTTATATCTAATTGAAATTTATCTGAATAATGTCGCATTCTTTGTATTAAAAAACATTTATTTTATTGCATATGTATAAATCCATAAACGGTTGTATTCTTGATCTATAATTTATGGATGTAGCATGGACATGAACCAAATGGAGATTTGACCGACAGTATCGAAAAGTGGATATGGATAAGTATTTCCAATCCCTAAAAATGAATGTGATGGCGCTGCTGCACGGCATACAAAAGCTCATATATGCATCTCTCTCTCTCTCTCTTTCAGTATATATGAAGTATGATGAAATAACTGCAATTATGTGATGATGTAATATATTTCTATTGCCGATACAAAGATACAGACATTTGAAGAATGATTTATATATAATTTTCCTTGAAATATATAAAGATGTTCATAGACAGTTGTTTTACACATATATTCTTTGTAAACATTTGAAATAAATATTAAACATAGGATATAAAAACTCAAACTCCGATTAATTTACTAAACTTTTGCTAAATATACCAGTATACAAGAAATAAAACTAAAATGTGTAGAAGTATCATATATATAAAAGAAAATAAAAGTTCTATACATTAAAATTCTTTTTTAATCAATAATATTATAAACTTTATATTAA